AATGGGTCATAAGGCATCATTAAATATTTGCTATATGCACAGCGCAAAAGATCCAAAACCTCAATCTTCCTGTGAGATTATGCATAGAAGTAAGGCGCCAAGTATAAATATACGTACGTACGTACGTACGTTTCAAAAAACTTCAATCTCTATATAGAGATAATGCATCTGCATATTGAAAATAAAATTTTTAATCTCAATAATATTAAGGATCTAGAATTCTTATCTCTGCATAGAAATAATGCGCAACTATTTTATGCATACCGCCGAAACTTAAATAAGCTGTCACTGATTTAGCTTATCTTCTATGTGTAAGTCGATCTTTATTCCGTATAAAGAGATGTATGTACGTTTATACTACAACTTAAGTGGGCTACCATTGAGAATGTTGCTCCTCTATTCTATATATATATTAAGGTTTTAGATTTTCAGCACCGTGCAGGATAATTACTTGTTATAACATGAATATTCTTATGCAAAGGATTTGTAATTTAGGAAATTTATTTTCAATTTGCCGCATTTCTTTATTTAAGGAGACTGATGCATATGGGCGCTATTTTGAACATCTTATGCTTAAAAAAATCTGATCTTGTTTCGAAATAGCGCACATGCGCGTACTCAAAATAGCGCGCAGGTGGTCGAAATAACGCGCAGGTGTGCGTTATTTCGCGGTTTTACGGTATTGATTTTTTTATAAATAGTCTTCTTTACAACAGAAGTAGCAATTAGTATAATAACTGGTATAGTAATTAGTTTATAGATTATATTATTGTTTAGGTTTTGATAAGTGTACCATAGTCAAAGAAAACTTTCTACTTCTTCTCAGGTATTAAACTTTATTTCTTCTGGAATATCTTTTGATAATACAATAACTATTTTAAACATTTTTTGTTAGGGCCTCATCTGTTTAACTCAAACTGAAAATAGTATGTGTATTTGAATTTATGTGCAATGTTGTCAACTGGACTAATTGAACCCAGAAATTGGACCAATTGGACATTTTCCAATTAGTCCAATTTCTGGGTTCAATTAATTCAATTGACAACACTATTCATCTGTATTAATGTTGTACATGAAGTTTGGTTGCTCAAATCTACTGAGTTAAATAAAGGAATTTATTATCTTGAAGTTTGTTATTCTTGTAGAATTGAATCGAGTGATGAATTTAAAGCATTCATTCAGCATCAAAATTGAGCAAGATCTAATCTTAGCGGTGTAATTTCAGGGAGGTATTTTGGTGCTCAGCAGTAGTTTCAAATAAGTAAAACTTCAGGCATGACATTAATAAAATCCTGGTCCATACACTGGTGATGCGGGTTACATCTTGATTCACTCATGATTCAAAAAACTGCTTGGTCTGCAACTATATAATGCACATCATATATCTTAAATTACAACGTTCATACCGTTTACTTCACTAGCTGAGCCATTTCCTATTTTGTCTACTTGAGCTTCAGGTTGACCAATACCTTCCTCATTTATTGTTTCACAAGCTTCGAATGTTACTACAGAAGATTAATCAAGATAAGTATGATTATTTTATTATAAAACTTTGACAAGTAGTTTAGTGTTGTTTCCTTACTATACTGTTGTATTTCATTTAGGTCTTCCAAGGCACTTTCCATTAAGTTGTTCGAATCTGTTCTTAAGTCGTTCAAATCACGGTCTATAATGCCATTCAAATTATATTCTTCTATTAGGTTATTCAAATCAATTACGCTTGCTATTATTTGAGATATTTTGGTAGATTGGATGTTTTGTTTTGAGGGACAGAAAGAACAATAAGGCAGATTTGAATTTGTTTAGTTATATATTTCTTTGACACTTAGCCATAATTGGTTAATTGGTGGTGCGATCGCATATACAATTTTATTCGGATTTTACAATGCGGTATCGGTATGTCGCATTTACATTTATTATTTTGTATAATGTGCGATGCACTAATATATCGCACGTGCACATTGAGTTGTATAATGTGCGATGTATAATTATGTCGCTTGGTGCGACATATACATTTATTCTTGAATCAATTATTATTATGCCGAAATCAATAACTTAACCGGATCGGCCGAAAATCATTCGGTTAATTTTTGTCCGGTGTCCAAGAATTTATGAAAACAGCTGTAAATCGGGTTTATGAAAGCCCGATTCCGGACCCTAGTTTCATAGGCACAAAAAATAGTTTTTTAACTAAAATTTAGGGTTCTATAACAGTGAATAACAGTGAATAACTTCTAATCTATTTTGGATAATTTAATTGCTATGAAATGAAATGTCTGTGAAATAACTTTCTATAAAATGATACGTACCCAGTATAAAATTTTGATTGACTCTGATAACATTATTCAAAAGAATCAAATCTAGTATTGATTCACATTTGCTTTAACGATATTAGAATATTTGATTCAAAGTAAGTACTAACGAAAATAGAGAATTGTTTCTCTGTAGCACAAATGTGATGAATATATTGAACTTATTCAATGCTTAAGAAAAAAGTATTTAATATTGGAATATGCGCTTTAGTTAATGACACGATAATTTATTCTTTTTCTTTATTTTACCATACTATCATAAATTATAACTATTGCAATTATGAAATTAACTTTTTAGTTAATTTGTTATTAATTGTTTTTGTTTTACAAAATTATGCGATAGTCTATGCTTATAAAGAGCCATTAGCGACTTTATGGAACGTAAGATATAGTAGATTACCTACGTATTTGGGCTACGAAAAGGATTTAATAATGGCAGATGGACACCTACAGTCATTTCTAGAACAATATAACATAAGTATAGGAGGAACTTTCATAGACGTACCGAAGAATAAAATATATATTTATGTATTATACCATGCTATGAAAGTGGTTAAAGATCATTTAAACTCTGAATTCCCACTATATAGTCATTTATTTGTTTATAAACCAGTAAAAATTTCCATAGTAGCATTAAAACAAGCCTTTGAACAAATATTAAATCTAGCCAAAAAATTTAAGCCCTCTAATATTTATTCTTACATTTCTATATAATCTAATTACATTTATTTAGAATCATACCAAGTAGATGATATAAAAAATAGAAAGTTTTTTGATGCCATCAGACAAATTCGTCATTATAACGAAATTGTATACCATCATAATCGTTTGATGATTCTGATAATACTCAAACTCCTTTTGTTGAAACAAATAATATAGAGAAAGATATTATAAATACTCGAACTATAAATATTCGAATCCTGGCCGGAGATGGAATAAGTAATAAGATTAAGTTATGTTCATTGGGTTTTTGGGCAAAATCAGAAATCACAAATTCCAATTATTTTATAACTGCAGGACATTGCGCTACAGCCAAAAATAGCCTGTTTTACTATCATCCATGGAATAGAGAGGATGCAACTAAAACTTATATTGGGCGTATGAAATCGCAATGGACAATTGTAGCCCCCCTCGACGTTGGTTTAATCCCTATAAATAGTGAGGAAATTATAAATCTTACCAATACAGCAGTGGTTATAAGGAACACTGATTCCGAACAAAACAAGGAGTTGATTGTTGATGAAGTTGATGATGGCGCAGCTGTACTCAGTCATGGTGCTCATATATGTAAGTCTGGCCACACTACACAAGTTACTTGTGGAATAATAATTTCGTTCAATGGATTTTATTCAAAACCGGATAAAAGAGTCCTATATCCATTAACCATTACAAACCTGAAAGCACACGGCGGTGACAGTGGAGCGCCCGCATTTTCTTATCAACAAGACTTGCAACATGTAAAACTAAATGGTATTTTCTCAATAGCTGATAATATAACTTCCGCATATTTCCGATTAGAGGAAATTCTTAGAAAGTTTGAATTAAAGATTATTTTGAGTGGTAGCTCTGGTAGTTCTAGAATTACTAATTTCTAAATGAGTTTGCCAGGAACGGAGTGCAAGAAGTGCATGGTTATATGGCAAGTGAAAGGGTGTATCTAGTAGGTTAGTAGTGCCATAAAAAATCGGCAGTCACGTGATAATGTTTGATTCAAAAATTTATCTCTACATATA